CATAAATCTCATTGGCCCAGTGGGGTCGCCTAGGACCCCGGAGTCACAGCCAGTACCTTCATGGCTTGGCTGGCTCCAGGCTGGTGCTTTCTGCCCACACCAGCTCCCAGGCACCCCCGTTCAGTCTGATCACGGCCCCCAACTCTGAGCCCGAGAGAGCCTCAGTCTCTCTGCAGGTCTGACCTTGAGCTGCCGCGGCGCTGCTCTGAACACACCTGCCCTGTGCTGCTGGGAGTGTCGGAACTCCTCAGCCTCCTCTATGCCACGGAACCTTGGGCAGCCTGCTAAAGAGGAGGGGTCGCTTCCCAGCGTTGTTTTCTTTTTAAAGATTCTGTTTTATTCATTTGATAGGCAGAGTGATAGAGAGAGAGACACACAGAGTGAGAGAGAAAGAGATCTTCCATCTGATGATTCAATGTCCACATAGCTGTAACAGCTGGGGCTGGGCTAAAGCCAGGAGCCTGAAATTCCATCTGGGTCTCCCATGTGGGTGCAGGGGCCATCTTCCGCTGCTGTTCCAGGCACATTCACAGGGAGCTGGACTGGAAGCGGAGCAGCGGGACTCGAACCAACACTCCAATATGTGATGTTGGAGTTACAGGCTATGGCTTAACCCATGGTGCCACAACGTTGGCCCCAGAATAATGATTTTTTAAAAATTTTAAAAAAGATTTTATTTATTTATTTGACAGGTAGAGTTACAGACAGTGAGAGGTAGAGACAGAGAGAAAGGTCTTCCATCTGCTGGTTCACTCCCCAAATGGCTGCAATGGCTGGAGCTGGGCTGATCCGAAGCCAGGAGCCAGGAGCTTCTTCTGGGTCTCCCACTTGGGTGCAGGGGCCCAAGCACTTGGGCCATCTTCTACTGCTTTCCCAGGCCATAGCAGAGAGCTGGATCAGAAGAGGAGCAGCTGGGACTAGACACCTATATGGGATGCTGGTTCCGCAGGCAGAGGATTAACCTACTGTGCCACAGTTTTTAAATGTATAAAATGTTTTTAAATGTATAAAATAAAAGGCACAACATTGCAAAGGAAAACCAATTACCTTGAAATCAGATATCAAAATGCTAACGATGTAAGACTGTAACAGAGTAGTGGATGTGTCTCTCTGTAGTGAACTCAACAACCAGGGCGTGCGGAAGATCCAGTGATGATCGCACTGGCTGAGTGGTCCCGAGATCTCTGCAGCAACTGCACGGTGACACGGAAGCCACACAGAGCTGGGAGCTGACGCCTGCCTTCCTAATGCAAGACAGTGAGAGGTGAATGAAACGCAGGTCGAGCGTTTGCCTGTCCACATGGATGACCTGCTGAGTTCCGCTGTGGCTCCTGGGGAACCAGGTCGGTGTAACCAAAGTTGAGAGGAGAGGGGCCCAGCGCAGTGTCTAGCAGCGGCTTCCCTGGAGTCTCATTCCAACCGAGCTAGGTTCCCAGGTCACACAGTCCCAGGCCTGTGAGTGAGCGCAGCACAATTCAGGAGCTCTCAGGCTCGAAGCCAAGACACTACGGAGGGGAGAAAGGAAGGCCTGCGAGAAGCCCTTACACCTGCCTTTTCGCAGGCCGAGCCCTGCTTTGGGCTGCCTTGCCACCCAGTCTAGCACTCTGCTCACTCCCACCCTGTCATCTCCTCTGGGATGCCCGCTTAACACCTTGGCCCTCCACGCTGTCCTGAGTCACAGCACCTCAGTGTCCACCTTCCCATCCTCTAAGGCTCCCCTGGAGGGGGGAGAGGGAGCAGGGGTTGGGGAGCCGGAGGGAGGGAAGCTGCAGAATGTTCAGCTACACTCAAGCCCCTCTGTCTCCCCGACCAGCCTGGGAACCGGGATAGACATTGCCACCTGCTGGCACCAATTGGAATGGCAGCAAGGATGGGGTGGGGAGGAAGGAGGCCCTGGAAGGCGTCCAGGCCCACTTTGGCATTTTTAGGGAGGTCATCTCGCAGGGTCTGCTAGATGGAAGGCTTCTCTAAGGGCCCTGGTGATTCCCGGAGGTTAGAGCTGGGCTGGGAACAGGAAAGAGGGGCTGAGTGTTGATGGAACAGCTGCTTGGGACCCTGGGCGCAAGCCAGAGCAGCCCCACCTGGTTACCGTGAGCACCAGGGCTGTGTGCACACAGCGGGGGGCCTGACCCCTTGCCTGGGGGAGGACCTCCAGGGAGCGGGGACCAGCCTCAGGCCAAGTGTCCACCCACACCCCCTTTTCCTGGACAGCTTGTTTTGCTGTACAGCTAGGGACTTTGACCTGGGAGCTGTGTTTTCCTCCAGTTGGTCACCTGATGTCCTGCCTGCTCATCCCCCTCCTCCACCTCCCGCCCCCAAAGCATGGCCCAGGGAGTCCTTGCCTTTCCCACCTAAGAAAGTGGGGATCCTTGGGCGAAGAAGGTGGAACGGGACGTGGGGGCTGATGGCAGAGGCTGCTCCAGGGGAAAGGGGTCACTGGCTGGGGGGGGGGTCACAGCAGTGACTTTCCTGCCCACCCCCTCTCACACCTCCTTTCTTGGGATGCCCCACTTTGCTGGGGTGTCTTCCTCCTGCTCCATCCCACCTCCTCTTTTTTGAAGTCCCGTCTGTGCTGGGGCTGCATGCTGGTGCCTGGCGTCCTCCTGTCTCTGTGTCTTCCTCTCCTGGGGACTACGGCCATGTGGGCGCACCTACACTTGACCTGATGGGACCAGGCACTCCCACGCCTTGGCTGCCATTGCTGTGTGCAGGTGACAGGCAGATCTGTGTCTGCTCCAGGCTCTTGAGCTCCATGCCCAGAGGCCCCGCTGCCTTCTAGACCCGTCTCTCTGAAGGGTCCACAGGCACCACACTCAGTATATCTAAGTCCTCCTGCGCCCACACTGGCTCCATCCCCCCGAGGAACCATCAGCCACCACCCAGCCGCCCCAGCCGGAACCCTCTCCTGGGAGCCCCCTGCTCCTCCCCACCTGCTCCCGCCTAGTCACAGTGTCCCACCAACCACGCTCTGGTTTTTCCAAGCCCCCCTGAACAGGCCTCAGATCCACGCCACTGCCTCTGTCCATCCCACCACCACTCCCTGCTGCTGGCCCCGCCACTGGCCGTGTGGCTCCCGGGGGAGCCCCCCAAGCCTGCCTTTCTCCAGCCTGTGATCCCCCTTTCATTCTCCAGCCTGCATCCAGGGTGGCTCGCCTGCCTGAACCCTGGGAGTAGGCATCGGTGTGTGTTTGTTAATCCAGCCCCATTCCTTACATTCCAACCAGCGATTCCCTAGCTGTTCATTAACATGCACAGGGCCTGGTCCAGACTGTGCCAGAATATTCTGAGGACAGCAAGTTGGAGGGAGGAGATGGGGAGGGAGAACAGGATGTACACGTGTGGGGGGCGTCACTGAATCCAAGCCAAGTTGCCTTGAGTCATTTCTGGAAGGCGACAAGGCCCCCCTGCACACACATGTGCACCAACATGCAGACACATGTGCACCACATGCACACACACAGAGAGAAAGAAGGTACAAGGGGTGATGTCTGAGCCTCCTCACTGGCAGAGCCACCCCGAAACTGACAGGGCTACCCAGAGGGGCCGGGGCACAGCAGTTCGGTGGCTCAGGGCAGGGGAGCTTAGGAGGGGCCTCCTGCTCAGGCTTGGGCTCCTGGGGACCTGACAGCTCTGTGACTGGGCTCCTCTTTCTTCCTTTTTGGACAGGAAGTAGGAGTTACTGGTGGGTGAGGGTATGGAGGGGCAGCACCATGGGAGCCCTGGAGAGTCCCGGGCCTGCCACTTGCCCAGGTGACCACTACTGGGGCGTAAGGAGGGCGCTTCAGAAAGTTCATGGAGAAGTGGAATTAAAGGTTGAGTCTGCTCTGAGCCATTTGAAGCAGCCTCGTGCCTGACTCCGCAGGTCCCTGGGGCAGGTGAGCCGCAGCGCAGCCACCTTGTCTTTAAATGCACCCATATTAAACTCGGTAAAGCCCCACTTGTTTGCAATGTGGGTCTTCTGGAGGCCAGGTTACTTGAGCTGGGCCCCATGTGGGGCCTCAGGCACAGGCTCCTTGTTCTGCAGCTTGCAGTGGAAGCATGTGGTAACCGTGGCGGCCGCGCCCTGGGGCTTTGCAAAGGTGCCCCACTTGCCTCTGTAGCCGGGCCTAGGGGCAGCATGAGGCTGGAGCCAGGAGCCCTCCATGGCAAGGGCTGTCTCTGTGGCCGTTAGGGCTGCATATGCAAGCATAGGGCCGCTGCACGCCCAGGAGGCTGCAGGCTGAGCTCCCAAGGGGTGAGGAGCAGGGCCCTGGCTCCTTCTTCTGTGGAGCCCTGGCTCTCAGCCTCTTGGCTTCCTGTACTCTTAGGTGAGGCGGGGCCTGAGACCCAGCCTGGCCCAGGGCTGGGGGCCTCAGCAGGTGCCTGAGTCATTGGCAAGGATGCCAGTGGGACCTGGGGGATGGGGATGGGGGTGCTTCTTCCCAGGAGTCTGGCTCCAGGGCTTCCCTGTCCTGGCGGATGGTGAGCCTTCTTCCAGGCTCCAGAGAGATAGCCCCAGAGAGCCCCAGAGAGTGTCCTTCCTCTGCCTTCCACGGCAGGGCTGTGTTCACCCACTTCTCTGCCCGTCCCAGGCGGAGGAGATAGGTCTTAAGGCGGCTGTCCCATCTGGAGAAGGCCTGGTTCCCAGTTCCCAGGGACCGTATCTGGGACACTGAGGAAGAATAAGGACTTGGTCATAGGTAGGTGTGGTGAGGGGTGGGGGCGGGGCTGGGACCTTTAGGGTGGGAGTGGGTGGATTTAGGGAGCAACCGGGCTGGGCCAGGGGGTGGAGGACCCTGAAGCAGGGCTGTGTCCCAGATCAGCAGGCCAGGGACAGGTGAAGTGAGACCAGGAAATAGGCCAGATGCTGGGGAAAGAGGGCAGGTTGCGCCTTCTCTGGGCCTCTGTGGTTTTCCCAGCAGGTGTCTTAAATCCATTGTGAGCCTTCCAAGAAGCCCCGCCCACTGGGCACCTCCCAGGTAGGAGTGACACATTGTCTCAGAGCTGCTGAGCTCAGGCAGAAACTGCCAGGTGTCTGGGACTCAGCCCACCTCCGCGGAAAGTCAGGCCCAGCAGGCTGGGCACCGGCCAGGGAGGCCAGGCCTGGCAGCTCATTACCCTGGGAGGGAGGGCAGTTTCTCCCCCTCGCCCGGCCTCTTCCTCCTCCCTTTCTCCCTCTCTCCCTGGCCTTCTTCCTTGCTGGCTCCTCTCCTGCGGGGTCAGACAGAGCCCAGGCTGATCGCAGGCGGAGACCTGAGGCCCTGCCGCCGCTCCAGGAACCCAGACGCACGGGGCAAGTGAAGACCCCGCAGCTGCCTGTAGCCATGTCCGCCCTCGGCCTGATCCTCCTGGGCCTGCTCACGGCAGCGTCTCCTGCCAGCTGCCAACAAGGTAGCACAGGCTAGGGCCAGCCGGGGGCTGGGGGGCTGGGGGGAGTGGCTGCAGGGAGGCGCGGGCTGGGCTGGGCGCTGGTGACCAGGGGTGGAGGGGACAGTGTCTCCTATGTCCTCGTCTCCCTGAGCCCTGTGGCTTAGACAGCAGCAGGGAAGGCTTAGCCCCAGGAGCCTGTGAGGGCAGAGACGCTGCGGCACACCTCCGTGACTTGTTTCCCACGGGCAAGAAGTGAGACCAGTAGAGGAAATGGGGGGTCGTAGGATTTGGGGGAGGGGAATGGGAGTTGAACCCCATGCCCCAAGAGCAGCACCTGTCCTGGGGCCTGGGTGTCCGGGTGACAGGCAGGGTGGGAGTGGAGGCCGGCTTGCCCCAGGGGTTTGTCCAAAACTTCCTGGGGAGGGAGCAGCACCCAGTGCAGCCCCCCACTGTACTGAGCTCTGCTTCTGTCTCAGCTGGGCCCCTCTCTGAGACTGAATTTTTATCAAATAGGGACAGTCATTCCCTACATGGTTGTATCTCGTTCGGAAGGTTGGGGGGTGGGAGGGTCTTTCACCAGGGAAGCTCCATAGCTCTAGGGCTGGTGGGGGTCCTGCGCTGTCAGGCTTGGGTCCAGAGGGGCTGACAAAGCTGCTTCCAGAGCAGCCCCCCACCACCCCGAGCTCTCACACTTGTTGGCTTCGACTCTGTAGCCCAGGTCTTAGAAGACCAGAGAGGCCAGCTAAGGTACACAGGTCACACAGTGGGGCAAGAGAGGGCGGGACCCAAACAACCTTCCTTCTGCCCCTTGCTCCATATGCTTACCCCGGAGCCAGGGCGCAGGCGACTGTGGTCCCCCGTGTGTCTGCAGAGTGTTGGCTGCAGGGTCTGGAGGAGCTAGGGAGGGGGCCTCCCGGGGGCTGAGCACTCACCAATGCGAGGAAGCAGGGACTCGGAACCAGTGCTTCCCTGGGCGGAACAACGGGTTCCAGTGTGGCTTTTTGGCAGGAATGGACCTCAGCTGCCTCCTTCCCATGGCTGCCGGCCCCCGGAACCCCGGCACTGCAGCAGGAGAGCAGGAGAGAGGGGGGCTTCAGGGTGGGAGTGAGGCCAGTGGGGTTTTCTGCCACTCACTCTGGGCCCCTCCAAGCACAGGTGCCTCCAGGGAGGCGGTGCTTGTCCAGAGCCAGGACCCCTCCTAAGCCTCCCTTTTGGTCCCAGGGCCTCCGGGACTCATGGTTGCTGAGCGAGCATCTTTCCTCTGCAGGGCTGAGCTCCCTCCGGCTCAGCCAGGCCTAGGGGCTGCAAGAGGCCGGAGAGCAGAGACTTCTGCGACACCTTGAGGGCTTGCATGGATGTCCCAAAGAGCAGAGCAGGGCTCAGAGAGCTGGTCCCTGTCCCCAGCTCCCTGGGCACCCAGTGGGAGGAGCCAAAAGGGGCTTGATTTCTGAAGCCTGGGCCTGCAGATCCAGGGGACAGCACCCGTCTGGCTTTCCTCTCCGGAGGTGGCCGGTCTGCGCACCCCTCCCTGGGGCACCCCCGCACCCTGCGGAGCAGCCTGCCTGGCCCTAGGCTCACACCCTTCCCCACCAGAGAAGCCTCTCGCTCCAGAACAGGATCTGCCAGATGCCGGGGAGGAGGAGGGGAGCCACTCCCAGCTGGCAGGACCGAGGCCAGCTACCCACAGGGCTGCCCTTTGGTCCCTGGGGCCCAGGCACTCCCTGGGGGGCATCGTTGCATGTGACCCCCTGGGGCAGGGGCAGGGGCTCCTGGCCCCAGGCCCGCACGTCAGGCTTGGTCTACCTCCTGGAACATGCTGACTTCTCCTTTTGCTGGCACTCAATTCTGCTACGCAGGCTTCATGGGTCACAGGGGGTGCCCTGAGCCCTCCTGGCCACCCCCGCCACCCCAGCGCATGTCCTGTGGTCCCGGCAGCCCCTGCCTCCCCGGCTCTGCACTCACAGCACCCTCTCCCCTTCTCAGGCGTGGGGAGACTCCAGCCCTGGATGCAGGGCCTCATCGCCGTGGCCGTGTTCCTGGTGCTCGTGGCCATCGCCTTTGCCGTCAACCACTTCTGGTGCCAGGAAGAGTCGTGAGTGCTGCCACAGGGGCCCGGGCTGGGCTGGGCCAGCCTCAGAGCCAGCAGGGCAGGCCCAGGACCCTGGGTCCCCTCCACTCACCGCGTGGGAAGGAGAGGAGGCTCACGGGCACAGTGTGGGCTCAGGCTGGCTCACACGTGGGGCTGCTGTGGGCTCTGGGGAGTTGTCCTCCTCCTGTCGAGGCCCGGCCTGGTGGGGTGGGCTATGAGTGCACCTGGAAAGGAAGCACCCATCCTTCCCAGGGTCAGCTGCAGTGCAGAGGGGCCTTGTGGGCACACAGAACAGAACAGACAGTCACAAGGTCAAGTGTGGCTGCAGGAGCATGCAGAGTGCATGTGGAGCCTGACCCGGTCTGCGGTGCTTGGAGGGGGTGCCCTTGATAGCTTATTTGTCTCCAAGAGCGAGCAAGAGTTGGTCACATCATACAGTGACCTGAGCAGAGTAGAGCGAGGCCCTGGGGTAGGGGCCTGGCACCAAGACATGGGGTGGACAGTGAAGTGGGGTGGGAGGAATCCAGGACGTGCTGTCCCTGCCAGGCCAGGCCCCCGGGGCAAGGCTGTGTCTGCCCCTGCAGCGTCTTCTCCCAGCTCTCACAAAGGTGACTTGGTGGCTTGGGCTCCAGCAGCTGCCCTGCTGGGCAACCAAGCAGCTCCGTGGGCAGAGAGGGCTGGGGAGGGGGCAGGACCCAGGCACAGCGGGCTCTTGTTCTCCAAGGACCCTGACTTAGGGCTTGGTCCTCAGTGCAGCAGGAACCCAGGGAAAGGTGTGGACGCCAGTGTTGCGGTGGGACCGGGCCTTGGCAGAGTCCACGGCTTGCCATGTGGAGGGCGTATGGAGGGCGAGCCGGGCGTTCTGTAGGTGTGGAGGGTGGCGAAGAGGCTGAGGCCGAGGGAGGGAGAGTGACTGGGCCAATGCTGGGGCAGAGGGGACGGAGCAAGGGGACAGTGCTGGGGGTTGGTGGACAGTGCTGGAAAGAGGGCAGGGCGACATCCAGGTTCCTGGCTGGGGAGTGTTCACGAGGCACGAACACTGAGAACAGATCTGCGGGTGGCTGCTCAGTTCACTGTGGGACGAGTTGAGCCTGACGTCCTAGGCTGTCTTGTGTCCCGGGAGAGGGGAGTAGATTGAGGTCCCTGGGGCAGCAGCTGCCTGCCCGGGACCATGCCTGCTCCTCCTGCCTGAGGCTCGGACATTGAGCCCTTGCTGGGGCTGCTGCGGGGGCTGGCCTGAGGGCATGGGGAGGCGGTAGAGGTAGAGGGAGGTCTTGAACTTAAGGTCTTTCCAAGTGTCTGGCCCTGTGGGGGAGGCCCACAGGGCCACCTCTCCCCCTGGGGTGTGAGCACCAGCACTGGGAATAGGGTCTTCCTGGACGGGGGCACCCTCCTGATGAACTCTACTGATGAGCCCCTCCCCCAGGGACCCTACGAACGTGGTCATGACCGTGGGAAACAAGTCCGATGGGGTCCTGGTAGGCATGGATGGCAGGTACTCCTCCACGGCGGCCAGCTTCAGGTGAGGGCTGCTCAGGGCTGCACGTCCTGTGCTCTGGGGCCCAAGGACCCCAGGAACGGGTGTTGTGGGCTGGGGTGGGGCTGGGGACCCAGGTGGGGAGGACTTGGTGATGACGAGGCCAGTGATGGGGGCTTTGGGAGGGCTGCAGGCTCCATGGGGGACTGAGGCCTGTTTTGGCGGGGGCCCAGTGAGGGTGGACTGGGACCCACAGGGCAGTGGGCACTCTGGGGAGAAGGAGTGTCAGTGGAGGGAGAGTGAATGTTGGGGGTGCTCAGTGTGGGGAGAGGGCTCAGCAGGGCATGAGCTCCATGGGGACCCCGTGGGGGCAGGGCCCAGTACAGCAGGGAGATGGGGTTCAGGGAGGTGATGTTGAGATGTCTCCCATGTCAGGTGCACAAGCCCAGATGTGCTCAGGGGACCCTTCCAAGAGTCAAGTGTCTGTCCTGGAAAATGAGACAGGGCCGGGAGAAAGGAGTGGCAGGGGGGCCACAGGACCACCAGAGCCCTCCATCCTCCTCCAGGTCCAGCGAGCATGAGAGTGCCTACGAGAACGCCCTGGAGGAGGAGGCCAAGGTCCGCAGCACCCCCATGTGACCCCGGCTCGCCTGTCGCCCCAGCCCGAGGCTCGCGGGCGCCTGTGGTCTCTGCTCAGTGCCACCATCCAAGCCACTCCTTCTCTGTGCGGGGATCTGCAATGGTGGGAGACCCCCCCACCCATCTCCTCCAAATCAGAGCCAGCCAGGGTTGGTGCTCAGGCCATGTCCAGGCCTGGGGTCTTCCAGGAGTCTCCCCGCAGGGCAGAAGAGCCTTCCGAAGGGGACAGCCCACTCAACACCACCCGCCCGCCTCACAGCTCCTCCCTGACTCGTGTGGAAGGGCCCTTATTTCTGTGAAATAAAGACTTTTTGTACTCCTGGGGCTGAGACCCTAGGCCTCCGGCGAGGCCAGTCCTGCTTTGGCGATCGCGACACTGCCTTCCCAGGCTGCCGTCATGGTGGTTTGGAGATTAGCGGGGAGGCGCTGCACCTGCAGCTGGGGCCTGTGCCCAGGGTGCATGAAAGGGGCCTGGGTGTGCAGCCCCTGCTGAGCATCCGTGCACAGGGCAGTCGGGGAGGCCAGGCGACCAGGGCCGGGGGAGCCCCTCACTGCCACATCCTCCCTGGGGCCAGAGCAGTCACCGCAGGCTTCCTGGGGCAGACAGACCCCGACGCCAGCCCAGGAGAGGGTGTCGGAGGCTCCGCAGGCCCCGCCCTGCCCTGTCCCAGGATGGGTGCTTCCTGCCGACACTCATCCCCCAGCGCACCCTTCACGCCTGAGACCTGGGACCTGCCTCCTGCAGCCCCCAAGCTGCCCAGCACTGTGGGGTCCACTCATCGCCCTTTGATCCAGCTCCATCTGCTCCCCGTGACCCCTGTGAGCTGGGCTTTGGCCTGGGGAGTGCGGGGAGACAGCCTTGGGCTGGCGTCCATGCGCTCAGTTTCCCCTCTGCCAGGTCTGGCCAGTCTCACTGCAGGGCTGGGCAGAAGCCGGTGCTGGGAGGTGAGGCCAGGGCTCAGGGCACTGGGTCCTCGTGGGAGTGGAGCAGGAGGCAGACAGAGGCGGCCAAGTCTGCAGGGCTGGCCCACCCTGGGGCCTCACCTCTGCCACTGTTGGTCTACTAGGAGCAGGTCCGGGCTCTCCCTGTCTGGGGTAACAACCTGAGACAGACGCCCTCAGGGGCATCCCCAAGGGCTGGAGGGTGGGAGGCAGCCCCTCATCCCAAAGATTTCCCTTTGCTGCCTGTCTCGACCTGTCACAGCCCCCTCACTGGTCCCTTGCCATGCCGAGGCTCCACCCATGTGCCCCTGGGAGACCCCTCTTCGGTCAGACAGATTCCCTCTCTTCCCTGCGCTCTGGGACGCAGGCTGTGCAGAGAGAAGAGCCCGCACATCTTTGCTCGGGTCTCCCCCACCTGGCTGTGTGATCTGAGGCAGGTCTCCTTCCCTCTCTGGGCTTCTGTGTCATGATTCGCAGGTGGTGCTCTCATGAGTTGGAAGCCCGGGAAGCTTCTCACCTGGCCTCTTGTGCCTCATGCCTTCTCACCCCACTTCTGCCAGTTCACATGCTGCCCACTTCCTCCAGGAAGTCCTCTTTGTCCCGAGGGCCAAGCCGGACTGTGGGCAGCTTCTCACGGAGGCAGACACAGAGGTTCCCAGAGGGCCGGGCCCCACCTCTTCTTCCTATGCAGCCTCCCAGGCCCAGGTCTGAGCCTCCTTGCCCGAGGCCCCATTGTCTCTCACCTCTGTCCCCAGCTTCCCTGCTGTGGCTGGGCATTCATCTGGCCCTGCTGCCACCAGCCCACCAGGACCCCAAGGCAAGGCCGTCCCTGTCCCTGTCTGTAGCAAGTGGCGTCCAGGCCCTCTTGCCTGTGAGGAGCGACCAGGAGAGGCCCGGGCCTGCCCAACACACTTTGCTCCCAGCAGCTGCCAGGGGTGGGGGTGAGTCCCCAGCAGCCCCTCCCCCACCTGTCCCCCCAGGACAGTGACCCTGGGAGCCCCTGCAGGGGCGGAGCTGGCACTGACCTTACCCTCCCCACCCCCATCCCGTATTCCTGGCCCAACCAGGGGCTGGGGGCATGGAGCTGCAAGCCCCAGAACCCCGGGGACCCCCAATCCTTATCGCTGGTTCCCACCTGCCAGCCAGGCCAGATCAGGGAGCTCGGGAGGCTGGGCCCGGGCCAGGGCGGCCGCTTAATGACCCTCCCGGGGCCTAATCTCGGACTGGCAGCCGCGGAGAGACTTGGGCCCGCTCCTGGAGGAGGCTGATAACACACCAGCTGGGGCCCCACCATCTATCCGCCGGCCCTGGCCCCGCATTGTCGGTCCCCAGGGGGCGGCCTCAGCGGCTGAGAGGGGGAGCCTCTGGGCTGGGGCGGGGCTGAAGGGGAGCTCTCAGCCCCGCCCCTGGCCCAGCAGGAGGGGGTTCCGAGCTGGGGAGTGACAGGCAGGGGCGGGGCTGACTGGCAGGAACCTGAAAGAGGCCTGTGTTGGTCCACTGCTTCCTGCCCCCTCTCCATCCTCTGCCCTTTCTCTCCCAGCCTCTGTGGGTCTGTCTCTCTCTCACCCAGCCTCCATATTCTTCTTTTTTAAAGTATTTTATGAGAGAGGGAGGAGAGAGCGCTGCCATCCACTGACTGATTCATTCCCCAAAGCCAGCAAGCGCCAGGGTGGGGCTGGAGCCAGGCCGGGAATCAGGCACTGCATCCAGGCCTCCCCCATGGGTGGCAGGGACCCAGCTGCCTGAGCCCTGAGCCTCACTCTGCCTCCCAGGAGGCTGAACTGGGGGCCTGGCAGGGACTCACGCCCAGGCACGTGGTAACCATCTTAACGGCCCGGCTCCCGATCCTGTCTCCCTTCTCTCCACCCGAGGCCAGTGCCCACTGTCTCACCCACGTGTCACTCTTGTCCCCTTCCAGCTGGTTCTCCCTGCTGCCCAAGGGCCCCCTCCTAGCCCAGCGTCGCTGGTGTCACCGGGACCCCAGTGGAGCCTCGCTTCTCTGTGCAGCCTCAGCTGCTGGCCTGTCCCTCCAGCTGGCTCTCAGGATGCTCAGGCACCCGAGGCCCGGCTCTACGGCTGCCGTGGACATGCTTGCTCCTCCTTCCTGGACCAGGGTGGCCCCTCCCTCCTCCTCCCTCTTTCCTCCTCCTCCTCCTCCTCCTCCTCCTCCTCCTCCTTCTTTTTAGATTTGTTTTATTTATTTGAAACACAGTTACAGAGAAAGAAGTAGAGAAAGAGAGCGAGAGAATCTTCCATCCACTCGTTCACTCCCCAGTTGGCCGCAATGGCTGGAGCTGAGCTGATCCAAAGCCAGGAGCCAGGAGCTTCTTCCTGGTCTCCCATGCAGGTGCAGGGGCCCAAGGACTGGGGCCATCTTCCACTGCTTTCCCAGGCCACAGCAGAGAGCTGGATCAGAAGTGGAGTAGCCAGGACTCGAACTGGAGCCCATATGGGATGCCGGCACTGCAGGCCAGGGCTTTAACCTATTGTGCCACAGCGCTGGCCCCAGCCCCTCCCTCTCTGAAATGTGTGCATTGCTCAGGGTCCCACTGGGGCTGCACCCAGTACCCAGGCACTGCCCAGGTGCAGGCAATTGCAGCACTGCTGCCTTCAGGCAGACTTGAAGAGGAACTTCCAGCCTGGGGCTGGCTCTGGCAAATAGCCGTGGACTTCTGTCTCCAGTCCCACCTGTTACGGGACAGGGTGCCAGCTGGGCAGGGCCGGTGTCGAGAGTGCCTCCCTGGCACTCAGAGAAATGCACACAGAGGTGCTATTTGCTAACTGAGATGCAAGAACCCTAGGTCAGGACTCCAGCGGGGAGAGCCTCCTCCCCTAGCCCACTAGGGTTCTAGTCCTGGTTGGGGTGCAGAGTTCTAGTCCCGGTTGCTCCTCTTCCAGTCCAGCTCTCTGCTGTGGCTAGGGAAGGCAGTGGAGGATGGCCTAGGTGCTTGGGCCCTGCACCCGCATGGGAGACCAGGAGAAGCACCTGGCTCCTGGCTTAGGATTGGCCCAGGGTCGGCGTGGGGCAGAGGGTGCACGGGGCACGGGGCAGGGAGCAAGTCACAGAAATCCTGCCGTGTCCTCTGGGACCAGCGTCACAGCCAGTCAAATGGCACCTGCCTCCCACCCAGCCCTGCCCGTGGCTGGACTCCCCCAGCTTGGCTCTACTCCCAGCCTCTGTCCCTGGCAGTGGGCACAGCGGCCAAGTGCTTGGGCCCGGGAATCATGGCGACCCTGGCTTGCGTTCCGACTCTGCTGCTTACTGCCTGTGGGACCCCCTGGCCTTTCAATTGCCCCATTCCCTTGCCAGGAGAACTGGTTCTACTAATATATATTTTTAAAAATATTTAACTTTTTGAGGCCGGCACCATGGCTCACTTGGCTAATCCTCCGCCTGTGGTGTTGGCACCCTGGGTTCTAGTCCTGGTTGGGGTGCAGAGTTCTAGTCCTGGTTGCTCCTCTTCCAGTCCAGCTCTCTGCTGTGGCCAGGGAAGGCAGTGGAGGGTGGCCTAGGTGCTTGGGCCCTCTACCTGCATGGGAGACCAGGAGAAGCACCTGGCTCCTGGCTTAGGATTGGCCCAGCACCGGCCATAGCCATTAGGGGAGTAAACCAACGGAAGGAAGACCTTTCTGTCTCTCTCTCACTGCCTATAACTCTCTCTCTCTCTCTCACTGTCTAACTCTGCCTGTCAAAAAAAATTAACTTTTTGAAAGGCAGAGAGAGAGAGAGAGAGAGAGAGAGAGAGAGAGAGAGAAGCAGAGAGATCTTCCATCTGCTGGTTCACTCTCCAAATGATGGTAATAGCTGGGGCTTGGCCAGGCTGAAGCCAGGAGCTTGGAACTCCATGTGGGTCTCCCATATGGGTGGACTATCGTCTGCTTTCCCAGGAGCTTTAGCAGGGAGCTAGATTGGAAGCGGAGCATCTGGGACCTAAATAGGTGCCCACATGGGTGCTAGCTTTGCACCCCCTGCACCACACACCGTCCCCAGAGCTGGTTCTACGGTGTCTTGCGCATAGGGCTGCTGGGAGCAGATGCAGCGTGTTATCAGTGCACCTGAGACCTTGTCTGATGGCTCAGGTGTCACCGTGGCTGGGGCCTGCCCCGCCCTGCTCCGGGCCAGATGCTTCGCTTGGCAATTCCAGCCCCTGCCCTTCCTGTCCTACGGTCTCCCTACCCTGCACCCGTGTGTCTGGCTGCAGCCCCAGTCTACTCTCATGTCCCTCTGCATCACCAGCGCTCAGGATGGGCTGGACGGAGGGACGGGAAGCCCAAGGGGCAGCGAAGAGACCCGAAGGAAGGGGACGAAACTCCAGCCGTCTATCTAGCCTGGCCCTGCTCCTCACAGGGCAAACACAGCACGCATGCGCATGTACATGCGT